ACGGAACCTTAAAGGTTTCGACGGACACCATTTTTTTTTTCAGTGTAGTAAGGGGCGTAGCCAGGGGGGGTGCCAAGGGTGCCCGGGCACACTCCTTGGAGAAAAAAATACCTGAAGGGGGATACAGATTAAACAAAACTATCGGTAGAGTGAAATTTTTTTCTACTGGCGTGTATCCCCTTGGAAAATTTCTGGCTACACCACTGGCAGTAGTACTAGGGTCTACTAGGGAGTGCTAGGGTATAGTAAGGAGTCCTAGGATATAGTAGAGAGTACTAGAGTCTAGTAATAGCACTAGGATCTAGTATGGGCTACTAGAGACCATCAAGGAATACTTTGGTCTACTAGGTAGTGCTATGGCCTAGTAGGAGGTATTGGGATCTACTAAGAAGTGCTAGGATCTAGTAGGGAGTACTGGGGTCTAGTATTAGTACTAGAGTCTAGTAATAGTACTAAGGTTTAGTAGTAGTAGTACCAAGGCCTAGTAGTAATACCAGGGTCTAGTCATAGTACTAGGGTCTAGTCATAGTACTAGAGTTTATGAAGGAGTACTAGGGTCTACTGAGGTATAGTAAGGACTACTGGGGTCAAGTATAGACTACTGAGGTCTGATAGGGGCCACTAGGGTTGGTTGATGTGGGTGTGAGCGTGAGTGTGAGATAATAACAATATCCACACCCATTCATGCAGAAATTTAGAAAAAAGATGCACAATTTCAAGATCTATTTCTGTATAGTATTTAGAACGAAACCGGAGAGATAGGAGATTGGCGATCTCGTTATACGATGTTCTTTATAATCAAATAATAAACTTATGTTTTATGTTCCAGTTTTACAGAGAAATAATATATAAACGAGGAATAATTATTTCTCTCATTGCAATAGGATGATGTGAATATACTAATATATTCAAGAGAGTCTCTGACGTATCACTGGATAAATCGAAATATTCTTCAAGATTTTAGTTTTTGACTTTATTCTATTGATAAAAAAAAGTTGAAAAAATATTCTTTTCTCAAATGTGTTATTCTTCCAAGAAACAACATTTTTAAAAGAAGAAATGCGTTTCAATCATCTTTCAAGAAACATGGTTTTCTAACTTATTTATGAGCAGAAATAGCCATCAACATTTTCTTTTATAACCTTAGAAAAAGTGAAGATAATCTTTTTTTTCTTTTTTTCAAGTCGTGGTTATTGCGTAATATCTGAAGCATATTCTTACGACAAAATGTGTTGAAGAAAATCAAATAATATGAAACACATATCGAAGAAAAATACTTTGAATGATCTAAAAAAACGGCGATTTCGTTGATTTGACCGAAACTGTTCTCTGATTTATATTTAATTTTCATGAGGGTGTGACTTTGGGCGTCTTCTCGTCCTGCCCACATCCACATCCTCACAGAACTGTATATCCTGCATTCTGAGCCGAATAAGTCTCATCGCTAAACAATTTTTTCTCGCAAACTTTTCTCTGATAACATGACAGATCGATCCAAAAACCCATACAGAGATCTACTAGCACCTACTGAAACATTCGATCTACCATTGATATATGATTCAAATACGTTTGTATGTACAATAATCTCGAACACATCTCAAAATATAGAAAACTTAAAAAATAAGGCAAAATGTAGAAATATCAGAAAAACTTGAAAAACATTTAGTAATATATGACCGAATTAAATAAGCAATTGAACAGACCCAGCATGTACACTTTTATACCATGAGAAACGTATAATTCAATCGCTGATATAAAGTTTAAAATAATTTTTTATGTATTTTATTCGAAAAACGTTCAAAAATGATGAAAAACGCCAAAAGACAGTAACTAAAATCCAAGAAAAATTATATTGACACCTAAACAGTAGCCAGTTTGTATCCACTAACACTGATAAAAAATACGCAGATCATTGTTCATGTTACTTTCGTGTATAGTTCTTTCGGCAAAATAACTAAAAATGAATAAAATGTTCGAAAACATTCGACATGATCAAATCGTTGTATTGACAATTCCATCTGAATCAATTATACTAATTATCGAACTTAACTGATTGTAAAAACTATTTTTATTCAAAAGACGCATGATAACTTTTGATGTATCCATGAATCAGTTTTTCATTATGATCTAAAATGACTAAAAATTTGGTGATAACAGATGTGAGAATTAAGAGAATATAGTGTAACGTTGGAAAAAAAGTCGCGGCATCAATAATAATCTCTTTTTGATAGTTATGTTTTCTCTCTCATTCTTGTCGACAACCCATAAGTATTGTGTCAGCCTAGTTTTTCCCTGTTAGTTGATGAATATTGAAATTATGTCTTGGTTTTAAAACTGGGTGTGGGTAGAATAGGCATCATATACTTATACCTCCGCCAACACCCATGCACACCCGCACCATAGCGAATGTTTTTCACTGTTTTGTATCTTTAAAAATATAAATTTCTCCTTTACAATTATCTAATATTTTATTTTTCTTGCTAAATTAAAAAAGTATATTCAATCGGTGAAAAGATATTACTGATCAACATTTTTTCTTAAGCAGAAATCGATACATACTATGCTAAACAACTAGTTTCTTTTTGTAATTATTCACACTATAAAAACACTTTTAATCATTCTTCATAGCTTAGAAACGACCAATTCTTCCTTGTGTATATCTGTCTATAAACTATACAAAAATTTAGCTATTGTTCTATCTGAAATAAATATTCTACGCAATTTCTCGATTATACGTGAACAACTTCAGCTTCTTCATGCGAGATCTTGAATTTAATATTTTCTTTCTTCAGTGTATATTTTTCTCATTAAACTGAAGTAATTCATTATTACATTTGTATTGAAAATAATTATTTCCCTCTTTGAATAAGGACAAGTTTTGTACAATACAACAAAATACTGTTATATTTATTATAGAAGTACTTCTACAGATCGATATTTTTATCTTCCATAAATCTGTGTGATTTTGTGAACTAGTTTTTTATATGTACTATTTTTACAAAATTATTTTTCATTGTTATTTATAAAGCATAAACGAACATTGCTCATGACATCTTCGATACTTTTCCCTATAAATTGTATGGAAAATTAACATATCACTATCATCCTCATCCTAAAATACACAAAAATTAATTTTAAAATGTAAAACTCGAGTTTTATATGTATAGAATTCGAATAAATCTAGGTCAAATGAATCTTACTGGTAGGGATAATATCTGATCTCGTCAAATAGCTGTTTTTCTAATTGATACAGTTTCAGTATGAAGATGGGTCATGTTAGTTACAAGTTTGACATTTTAATGTTCGATGTACTTAAAACATTTTTTCTATTCTCATTCGCTTCTTTTGGAAACTATGTGATAAAACTTTTTCACAAGTATTCTTCTTACCAAGTTTGCATATCCGTTCACTTCAAGTCTTAAAAAAATTATTCATCAAATATGAAATTGCGCATTTGTTAATAACAGAAACCTAATTTGAAAAAAACTAATTAACATGATATGATATATTTTATATTTCATTACTTTTTTTTTTATAATACTTCAGAAAAGAAATACATCTCTAAGGAAACAGAAAGCTAAAAAATATAATTTAAAGTCATTTCCACGAATCAAAATAGACCTTACCCTGAGAAAAATAATTCTTTTTTTGTTTTCTGTTTTTAATAAACACTCTCTTACGATGTGTATAAAAAGGATATGATAGTTGAGTTATTTGTTGTCAGTTTGAAAAAGAAGGCTCTTTTCGAATGATAACATTCAACGATAAGAACAGTTTTTTGGTATGTATTAGTTTCTTTTGCAAGGACATCGGTGTTTCATCGTACTCCAAGTAGATACAGATAACTTTTTCCAAAAATTGAAAAAAAAGAAGACATTATATATCAGGAGAATGAGTATTATATTTATTAGTTATTCATCTAATAAATACGCACACCCATGTGATCAATTAAACTTAATTGATATAACATTTATACTATTCACGAACGTTTTCCTAAATTTTATTTAATTATCATATGGTATAATCATATAGTAACACATAATTTGTTTAATATCAATTTTAGCTTATCATTCATCGATCAAATCGCACCTTTTATTGGACATCCTAGCATTGATATTCTCATTGAATAATAAATAGTATGTATATTTCTTTTTTGTTTCTTTTCTACAGAAATATAAATCCAATGAACTTCTCTTTATTCACGAGACATGGAAAAATCATTACAGCAGTTTCTTTTCAAATATTTCCGCAAAGATAAATGATTGAATTTTAACTCCATCCTGTCTCTTCTTTAAATACGATTGTAAGGATCTTGCGAGTGAGTGGGCGTGCAGATGCGGCAGTTGGCGTAGGTATTTCTTTAGTTTGTCGCATCCACCCAAGATGCATCAACTTATTTCATTATAATGATCAGAAAAGCTATAGAATACGAACACGAAAGAAAAAAAAAGTTTTGTTTTAAGTAAAATAAATAGCATATAACTTGAGCATTTTGTTTCGTTGTTATCGTCAGTTAAAAAAAAAGAAAGTATTTTCAAGAAGAGTTTTTTTGTATTAGATAGGATCATTCTTTCAATGCCGTCGCACTGGTTCTTCGAATTTAAAACTAAAATTAAACGCATCAATTTATTTCAAGATAATGATAAAACAAATGAAGAAGATATCAAAAATCAGAAAATATCGACAATTATTTTTCTTATCCTGTTTACAATATCAATTATTGCACTCTTTCTCTATTCATCCTTAACTCCTATAACAAAAACGGTAGTTGTTAAACAACCTTTTTTATCTGATTATAAACAATTAGAAGAAAAATATTCAAATACATTATTATGTGCATGTACAAGTGTTTCTAATGAATACAACAAATTTATATCATCATTTACACCGACTTTCAATCAAGTCTGCTCAAGTGATTTTGTTAGTGATGAATGGCTCAATTATGTTAATTATCGTTTATTACTTGAAACACAATATCATTTTTATCAGGATTTTCGTCATTCAGCTTATGGATTTTTTGCTATGTTACGTACACTTTGTGTATTAGCTAAACAAACAATTGATGATGAATTAGTTTCATTCTATTCTACAACTTTACTTACAGAAAACACCATTTCAGAAGATATATTTTTAGCTAATATAAATGCAACTCGTGATCAATTTATAGCTACAAGTGCAAATGATTTTATAATTACACTTGACTCAGTTCTATTAATAGGAGGAGTTAGTGTTTTCGTCATCAATCGATTAGAAACAAATTGGAATTTATTACTTTATGTATACCAGAACATTTACTTTAGTCCAGATTGGATAAGTCAACTATATACAACAAATGAAAATTGTATACATGAAACCACTGTATACTGTGGTACAACAACAGGTATTTACTTAAAGAAACTTCTCAATGAGACATCATCATCTGATTTGTTGTGGGGGCACCAATATGTAGCAGAATCACAATTTGAAGTTCCAGGTGTATTTGTAAGTCCTTTCATACTTGGTTCTGTTTTTCTATCAAATCTTTCATGCTTATATAATGAAAGTTGTTTATCGAAACTGAACACATATTTAAATGATTCACTTTCTCCATTTAATGCAACGCCTTTAGCAATACCTTCTTCTGCTCCATTTCTTCCAACCATTAATGATTTAGCCAAACAATTAATGGTGGATTTTTGGCAGCTAAACTCATCTTATGGACATTATTTCAATGCATGCAATCCATTAACTTGCACATATACTTATACTCATCAGTTTGATATTCTTTTTATTATTACGACTGTTATTTCATTTATTGGTGGAATCGTAACAGTTCTTATGATCGTAATATTACCGACAGTGAAATTCTTAAGAAAACAAGTTAAAACTTTCAACCGATTGTTATCATCATTATCCGAAGTTGTACCATATGAAACTAATAATGGTACGTCTTGTAACTAGGATGCTAGAAACTGACTAGAAAGACTCTGTCAGATGTCAGGACATAGAGATTCAATAAGGGAATGAGGAACTTAAGGCTTGATCACTCTCTGCTAACGTTAGTGAGCTGTGGGCCAATCTAAAGCATGCTCAAAAGAAGAAAACACAGATATAAAACTAAATTATCAAATGATGCTGCAGTCTTTGAAATTATATCAGACGATGTGAAACAATTTTCTTATCTTGAAAATAATCGATTCCTTTTTTTACAAAACAGTTTTTTTTAGCAAGAAAAAAAGAAATACGATTATTTTCATTGAGTTTACATAAAAATTTAATGAGGTAGACGGAAGGAAAAGGGTTTTATTAAATAATCTAAAAATAAGTACAGCAATTGCAAAAGAATAAATGTTCAGTAGGCAACGGCTTACTAGTGCAATATTACGATAGGCAAACGCTAAAATGAAATGAGCAATTGCCCATTTGCCCCATCTCCCTGGCTACGCCATTGATCACCATATTTATTCTGTTTTTCTTTCTATTCTTTTACAGAACGGCAAGCTGTTGGTGATACCACTGAGCAAAAAGTTTCATTATTTGTTAGAATAAAAATATTTTTGCTCAACCTTAACTTGTTCTCAGATCCAGATGAAAACAGTGAATGGTACTTATATGGTCAACGTCTCTCAACTCGATTCTTCATCATTTCAATAATTATTGCATTCTCGATACTTATTCTCTATGCATCCACATATTCTGTTACAAAAACGATCATCATTAACAAACCTTCGATCGGTGTCTATTTAACTCTTCAAGATAAATATCCTCAAACGTTGACCTGTCCATGTTTATCAACTACAACTGAACACTCTCAATTCATATCATTTCAACCTACACAACATCCAGTTTGCCACTCAGATTTTATTACAGATAACTGGACTAACTATTTAGAAGTATTGGGCAGTGGTGTTATAGATCAGTCCGATTATCGTTACAGTAATCGAGCATTCTTTCCAACTATTTTAACATTTTGTCAACTATCCCAGAAAACAATCAACAATGAATTAATCATATTCAATTCAACAAAATATGTTACAAAATATGCACAAGAAATAGATCTATTTAATTCTCAAACACAACAGCTCATCAGTAATATGAAACAGACAACAGTGAACTCATTTCAACTTTTAATGTCAATGTTCCGTCAAACAGTTTGGGGAAATGCATTGTTTTCTACTCTAACTTATTACTATACATATGACCCGACGGTTAATTATGATTTTAACTCAACAATAAATCCTAATGATTTAAATCTTGTATTTTTTCCACGTTATTATCAATCAAGCCTTAATACAACATGTTCATGTAAAATCCATCCAACTACATGCAATCAATTATCTAGTATCACTTATACAAACGGCGCGGTAAATAAAATTTTATATTCGATAAAAAACGTTTTTGTCCTAAAAAACCATTTGCTATAGAATATTCGTTGCCTATTTTATGTTTTACACTCAAAAGCAACATACATCATATGTTATTATTCTACATATAGTATTAGCTTTAATTGGCTTTTTTCCTAAGATTTTACACAAATAGTGAAATACCAATAACATATTCGTAACCATTATGAAAAACTACATCTGACGATGTATATCTTACATTAATCTAAATAAAAGTATTCTGAGTCATTTTTCACATTTTATTTACTTACCTTGTTGTAAACATAAATTAAGAATGAAGTTATATTTTTTACTTGAAAGAATATATTTTGCTGTATCAAATTATTTAATACTAATTGAAAAAGAAAGTTTAGTTTGAATAAAGAGTTCGATTTAAATATGTGTGAAACGGTGCTTTTTCGGTCCCTGTAAAGAGTTGCTTTTTGTATAACAAGATATTAGGCTGACAGTAATAAAAAGATTGATGTCGCACGATAAAAAGTATCTTTCAGTACCAATGTAGTTAAACTATGACACAAGTTCACACTCAAGTTCCGGTTATAGTAAAGTTTTCTTAATACTAGTTCCAGTTCCGCACATACCTAGTCCTACTATTATTAGATATTTCTTATAGTAAATGGCTAATATTGCTTTCTATTTTTCTATTCAGTTGATTAACGGTCTATTTCCTGTTCCTGGTTCTTATGTTGGTTGTTATGCGAGTGAGTCAATATTTCGTTCTACTTTTCAATGTTTTTTTGATCAAATATGTTTACAAACAATCTATAACTTAATACTTTCAAGATCAAAAGTTCCATTTAATGCAACTGCTATGCAATCAAATAGCACTCGTTATAATCTAACAGCAAGTGTACAAGATATTATTGATGATTTAATGATTGAAGAGTGGAATAATGAAACGTCATTTCAATTTTATTATAAACAATGCAATCCATATTTATGTTCATATTCATATGATGTCAAAGGAGATATTAGTTATATAATTGCAATTACATTTGGTTTAATTGGTGGATTAACAACTATTTTAAAAATAATTATTCCATTTATTGTATTAACGATTAGACGATGGCGACAAAAAAGAAGAATTGGTACCAATCAATCAATGATTAATCACGGTATCTAAAATTTACTTTGAAAAAGACTCTTGAATGTAGAAGAATCATATAAAATCACTACATATTTACTAATTTGATCTTTGTTTGTTCATAAGCTAAGTGATGACCAATTATTAATTATATTTTGATCTTATAGATGAGAACACTTATTAATTTTGCTTTGTAATACTGAAATGATTTTGACATAAGAACTGATAATAGATGAGAAATATTTATCGTGATTAAATATCTACCAGAACAGTTCCGAAACAAGTATTTCAAATGTTGCTGATGTGGCTGTTTTGGACCGAATGTCTCGAAAATTTTGCGACATTTCTTATTTTGCATATATTTCGATAAAAGAAAATGACAGACTGTTGATTTTTTTTGAAAAGATGCACTATAAAAAATTCTTACTGTACATGAAATTTTTTTCCAAGTATTCTTATTACGATGGAGCAAAGTATTATTATTTAGGTCATTTATATTAAGTAAAGGAAAGCCATCAGAATAAGTTAAGAATAAGTTTTCTGTGTGGTTTTAGTACATCTTTTCATAGTGCATCTTTTCCAAAAAATAATCAACATCTTGTCATTTTCGCATATCGAAATATATGCAAAATAACGAATGTCGCAACTCATATTGCTCATTTTTAGATACTGGAATTAGGAAATATTTATGTTTTAAAATGAATAATAATTAATTATTTGTATGGTTTTTTAGATATACAAACAATAACAATAGGACAGAAATTAAAAATAAGTATTTTAACATTTAATTTATTTAAAAACCGAAACAAGAGATTAGCAGAACAACTACAACAACAACGTTTTTCAACACGTTTTTTTCTCATAATTACTCTAATTAGCTTAGTTATTTTAGTATTTTATGTTTCTTTTGAAAATATCACACATACAATTATTAAAAACAATCCAACAATTACTGAATTTAATAAACTTTATCAAGAATATCCAAATACTGTTCAATGTCCATGTGAAACATATTCAATTACATATGAAGAATTTATTACATTTCAACCTCATTTACATTCAATTTGTTCAAGTACATTTGTTGATGAAACTTCAGAGTGGCTTATAATTGATTATCCACAAACAATGTTATCAGGTCACAATGGAGGACCAACATATTCTACTCGAACAGATGATTTTCGACAAATTGGAAGTCCATTTTTTCAACTTTTAAATTCATTTTGTAATTTATCATTTAAAACAATGAATGCAGAATTAACAACATTTTATTCAAGTAGATTTATTACATTAAATCTAATTACATTTGAACAATTTCAAACTCAAACAAATCAATTAGTTAATCAATTTATAAAAAATACAGCTCGTTCATTTATTAATTCACTCTTTTTTGCGGAAAATATGACTGCAGCAAATATGTTATTATCTGCATTTCAATCAGATTCATTACTTTCATCAGCATCTCCATTATATGATTATAATTATTATCCAGATTTTTTTTATCAATATGTTTATGATCGAACAGATCAAATATATAATTCAAATGAAACTGGAATTGATTGTGATTGTCAAAGTACACCATGGTGTATTCAACAAGCAATTGTTTATGATTTAGATACAACAACAGAACTGTTTTCTCCACCAGGTAATATTCTTTATATGTCTATGTCTGTCTAAATGTAAAAGAAAATAGAATTGAGAGCATATGAATGTGACTGAAAAAATTGTTGTCGTTGTTTTTTTCTGTTTTTACTTACCATTATCAATATCGCGACTAGCAATATTTGCTTACATGGTTGCTGGAAAACGACACATGAAGATCTTTTCTCTATTTTTTTTCTCCTCACTTCAGGTTTTCTCAGAAAACTTCCTGATTTCCAAAATTTTTACAGGGCAAACTTGGCAAATATATACTTTCTATCGTAATAAATGTAGACCTATTTTTTACGGAAAATCCTTTATTTCAGAAGAACTCAATTCTTTAAGGATTCTTCTTTTTTTTTAAAATGGTAATTGAAGACCAGTTTTATATAAATATATCATTTATTCAGATATTTTCTTTGTTCAATTTGCAGAAATAATCTAAAAAAAACTGTATTGATCAACTATTTAGAAATTATAGTCTTCCTTTTGATTAAGTGAATATTATGTTTTGATGAAAAAAAATATATATATATATATTTCATTATTTTCAGGTATATTTGTTGGATGTTATCTTGTTGAAGCAGTTTTACAAAGTGATCTAAGATGTTTCTTCGATATTGATTGTTTACAACAGTTGATCAATAGTTTATCTTTAGAAAATATCAGTGTATCGGATATTATTTTAAATTCAACAGCAAGTCATTATCAAGAAAAAAGTTCTTTATTAGAAATTGTTTCAAATTTAATGGTTGAAGAATGGAATAATCAAACATTTTATGATAATTATTTTAATATATGTCAACCATCCGTTTGTACAGCAACATATATTAGCCACGGAAATATTGTTTATATTATAACAACAACTATAGGATTGATTGGAGGATTAACAAAAGTCTATAGATTTATTGTACCAATATTCTTAAAGATTATGGTACGTGTAATCATTCCGTTTATACGAAAAAAATGTGGTATGAACAATAATGAAGAGATATGATAGATTGGCTGGTGAATTTTTGACTTTTCTGCTTCACTTTTAAATCAATGTTGTCTTGCATATTATTTACATTAATAGTAATAAAATGATTTTCTTACATATCATTTACATTTAAACTATGTAGTAAAATCATTTTATCATTGATTAATATATCGCTTTATTTTTTTTCTTCATCCGCTTAAGTTCGTTGTATGTTGTGTTTTAAATATTTATCTTGATTAATATATCAGCTTATTTTTTTTTCTTCTTTTGCTTAAGTTCATTTCATGTCATGTTTTAAATATCTATTTATGCTCTTATTATTTTATCTAAATAATCCTGCGAAATATAAAAATATATGATTAATGTAAAAATTTCTAAGTTAAGTCAAAGAAAACGGATGATGATGATGATGATGATGATGAATTTTAACATTTTAAAGGAGAACTACCTAAGATTTCAGTCCATGTCGAAAAGCACGGATCAGATTCGGTAGGAAAACATCGAAAATTGACGGAGGGTGTGGATATGAGTTTAGAGAAGAGACACCCACACCCATACCAAAAAAAGTAAACGTTGCTTATTAGTTATGTATGTTTCTGTATATAAATAAACTATTATCTAAAAAAAAAACTTCACGAATATAATGCAAAAGAAATAATTATATTAAAACACTTATATCAATATTTTCCTAGAATATTACGTTAGAAAATATTTTTTTATGGAGTTTCAGGACATAAATTGATCTTTTGATTTCTATTAAATATTTCTCATTGAATTGCTAATTTGTTTTCAGTAGAAAAGACTTTTTGTTTCTCTTATGTTTTTTATGTATAAGAGTGAACTTTCAGAGATCTTGATTAGGTTCAATACTACGTTGATTGACTATTTTGATCAAAATGAATTTACGATTTGTCATACTATAGATATCAAATTTGCAACTCATGTAATCACATTATTTATCAATAATGATGTTTATCAACTAATTCACCTTATAAAATGAGTAGGTATAATAGGAAGTAGACAAAAAATAATAAAAAACACATAATTTCTATAATAGATAGAAAAAAAGGGAAATCAAGAATGTATAACGATCTTGATGATGTGGAGTGTGCCCGAACTTACGATCAAAATACAAGAAGCTATTCTTTTCTTAATTCTTCACAAAAAGAACAAGCAAAGAGTGCATGCGTGCTTCAAACAGAAGAAAAAATACAGTTACAATTAATTCAAAAATAAATAAACAACTTTGAAAAAGTAAAATGTCAATGAATACATTTTCAAACAGAATGAGCAATTGCCATTATGGCCTCCTCCGCTATGCCACTATCTATATGGTTGTGGAGTTCTTGTTTGTCTGCTATGCATGCCCACACACAGTCTCAAACACACTCACACTCACTCCTAACAATATTTTATTGAAAGTACTTGAGATAAATATTAAATATTTTGTACTATTCTGAATTTTGTTAAAAATAATCATACCAAGAACTTTGTGATAAAAAAGGACTGCTTTGTCCTTTGTCTTTTTTTTGACTTCATCTTTTACGAGTAATCGTTATCAACTATGACATAAAGAAAAGAGTGAAAGTTTAACAAAAGTCAACAAGACTAAAGATAGAGTATTTTCACAAGAAGAAAGTACTGATTCGGATGAAAATTTTCTTATAAATTCAAATATTAATATAATATATTAATCAAACTATTAAAAGATGAAACCATTTTCTATAGTATATTCGGAAAGATTTATTTCAAATTTCAATGTGTCAAACGTCACCGATGAATGAATCTTTAATGTTTCAGATATTTATCATCTTATGACAAGTATCTTACAGAACATGATCTTAAGAGTGTCACTATGATTTTTGTATTTCAAAACACAATAAAAGAAAATACAAGTCTATTTTAAGATGATAGTCGTCTATGTATGCATTTCGAAAAGATCTTCGTCAACGATGTCACATGTCATATTATCTTTCTGTCATTGCATATATTTACTTTGAATCATCATATACAAAACTTTATAATCATATGATAAAAATGATATGTCACGTCTGTTTGCAACACATCAAACTACAAAGTTGTCGAAAATAAACTTTCTTGAATAACATGGGCAACTTTTCTAACAAAAGTAAATGATATAATATTTGAGTGTAATTGATTTTATTTTACTATCTCTAATAGATTCTCAAAATTTCAATAATGAGACAGATCATTCATATATACTATTGAATGGTAGAAGAGTTAGTTTAAATGCAAAACAGGTATATTGAAGAATAAATTATATAAGTTTTTCTCAAATGATCTATGATTATTATTATTATAGCTGTATAATTCGTGTACAATGTGTCTTTGTTCGTTTGGAATTCAAGAAGAACGTATTCCTCTCGAATGTATAAATACAAAATGTAGCCGATTATATTGTACTCAATGTGTAAATTCAGTACAAACCTATCTTGGCAGTAGTAGAAACTTTCGTTGTATGTATTGTATGCTGGAATATCCACTTCAGAAAGCACCCATAGAAAATCAGACACTCGTTAAACAACTATGGGATAGTATGACAATAAAGTATGGCATACGTTATACAAGGCATTTACTTTCTAAAACTCTCACACTAAACAATATGATTGACTTTTTGTGTGATATGGAATGCCGACGACGTCATTTAGTAAATCTTATTTCTACACTTGAACGTTTTTCCAGATGGACACAAACACATCATGTAATGGAGGATACTCATATTATGGCTGAGAAATTATTAGATCTTGTAACACGACTCAGAGAAGACCCTATTGCTTATATGAATACATGTCAAAATGAATATAAACAAATCATTTCAACGTCTGATCATAATAATGATAATAATGATATTGGTTCACATTATATACGATTATGTGAA